TCGATTCTTATATGTAACGTGCTGTTAAATCGATCAAGTAATCAGCAAAGAGCAGCTTGTTCAGTTCTACTCAAATTTCACTGCTAGGATTCATACATCACAATAGAGTTTTTAAAAGCTCAAAAGAACCAGTAAATTATATATTTATATGACACCATAAGCTACATACTAGTACAAGTGCAGTATAACATTAAAAATAGTACCAGAAAATATTCACCACTTTAATTAGGTATTAGTAGAAGTACAACAAAAGATAGCCACCCTAACCAGCCGCTTCTCCTCCAATGGTCATGAAAACAACCAAAAGTGGAAATTTTACGATGCAAAATCCCAGCACTGAAACAAAGACAAACATTTTAATATAAGCATGACAGATCCATGAGCTTTCATGCAAAAATAATCTAAAAGCTTATCTTTTCTACCAAGAAAGCACAAATTTTTTGCAGACTCAAGGCGCCTTAAACAAACAACTTGGAGTATAAGACTATAAGCCCCAATTTGCAGAGAAGTTAGAATGGGGAGCATCAAGCAATCATTGGATATAATTTTTAATACAAAAACTTTTGTATACACCCGGTTTACACTAATATTACTGTACATCAAGCAATATAAGGGTAACTTTTACCTAATTTTAGGGTAACTTTTTGACTTTTTTTGGGTAACTTTAAACATAATACAATTTATATATATATAGACAATAAGAAAAGTTTTATAATGGTAATTTAATTATATTCAATCACTAATAATTGATTTTTAGTCATTTAAAATGTGATTCTTTATTAATAATTTTTATTTGTATTGGATTACTTTTATGCATATTAAGGTAACTTTTATTTATTTCATGGGTAACTTTTGATCAAATTAGTCTATCTTTATAGTGGATGTACAATAAATATTGTACACCCAATTTTTTTTTAAAGTTTGTGTTTTTAATACATAATTCACAATAAAAATACAAAAAGAGCACAACAATTTGATACTAATACTCTTAAAAACAAGTCACATGCATTTACAGGAAACATCTTATTCTAAAAATACTGAATAACAAACCAATTGGACAGAGTGACCTACTATTCCATCTAATGTTCTTTTGGAATGCTTTACCACTCCTGGCTTTACTCTGAATATAAGTCTTGTCCTAGACTAATAATCTTCCCTCTCTTATTTTTCAATTATTTATATGATAATGGGAGGAGGGGGAAGCGTTTTCCATCTATTTAAAGGGTAATGGTTGATTATTAGTAGCAAGTTAGGGATTTCTTTTATGTTTTGCAGCTTGTATGTACTCAACTTTGCTGATTGCGTGCTTTGTGTGTCTTTCTTTGGTCATGGCCTTCGCCTTTCAATGACCCTATGACGATCCAATTTTTACACTTGTAATATTGGGGAGCAGATTAACCACAGGTTCTTACACATGCAGCATTCGCATCAGGGTTGTGGGATTTTGAGTGAAGAGTTGGTTATTATTCGCAGTTTATTTCTTTCATAAATTTGAATTTATTTAAACTTTGGTTATATTTATTTACTACTTTTGTTGGGTTTTGAATAAGGGTCTTAATGGTTCCAGCTTGTATCATTTAATTTGGTTTTGGTTATTGGTTTTGAAACTTATTTATAACTGAATTAGTTTTTCCGCTGTTATTATATGATAAAGCCTTAACGTTTGAACACGTGGTGGTAGCACACCAGTAATTCTCTTGAATATTCTTCAGCGTCCTCACAGGTTTAAAAAGAGAATTATAAAAGAAGGAAATTAGGAGCTGAGATGAGCTGAACTGTGCTGAGCTGAGCCAAACTGAAAATAAACGTATGAGAAGTTGAGAACAGGGCCTTAGATTCAAATCAAAGTTCGATTGTTGCTGCTTTGCTAAACTACTACCGTTGTGCTATGCTGCTGCTTGTTATCCTGTTGTATTCCTTCATGTTGATGAATTTTTTATTTTTTTTTGGTTGATGGTTTATTTTGTCTGGCCAATTAAATCGGTGTGGTTTGGTTTTTTTGGCATTGTTTTTTGTTTTGAGTTTTCAGTTTATTTTAAAATAAAAAATCAAAAACAAGAAACAAGAAAAAGATGTTTTCACTTTTTTATTGCCCGTTTTCAAAATTAGCATGATTTTAATAAGTTTGACTAATTTTTTATTCATTATATGACATATATCATACACTTTTAAAATACAAAAAACCAAAATACTGAAAACCGCAACAATGCCAAACGAACCCTAAATTAGTGGTTTAGTTTGGTTTTAAAACTAATATGGTGCGGTATGGTTTGCAAAATTCAAATATTGAAATATTGTGGTTCGGTTTCGGTTTGGGCAATAAACCAAATTGAAAACCGAACTTTTACCCATACTGTCGGTGTTATTTTGAAATAAAAAATAAAAATACCAAGCATATCTATAAGATAAAAATAATTAATTGCGTATATTAGAAATAGATCATATATTTTCGTCAAAAAAGAAATAGATCGTATATATAAATATACTAGATGAAGCCCGTGCGATGCACGGTTTGTCAGTATTTTTAAAAAAAAAATATTTTTCATATTTATGTAATTAAAATTATTATTAAATTAGTTTTAGAATATTAGATAAAATTCCTAATATCAAAAGATAATATTTTGTATTTAATTAATTTAAACTTTAATATTTTATTTGCTAATTTTGCTTATGTGGCATTTGAATTATTTAATTGTAAAAGAAATTAATAATCTCTTACTTAATTGGCTACTACTTAAATTCATAATCCTACATGGTGCGCTAAGAAAATCAAATCTTACGTGGCTCTCTAAAAACTCGGGAAAAAACTCCCCTTTAAATATATATATATATATTAGATTGGACCTCTAATTTGTATTATGTTTCATATTCTACTCTTTATCAATTAGTATATAGTATTTCGAATATCTTCAGGTTTAAAAGTAAGGAAAAACGAAATAACATGGCTAATCTATGTAAATTAATATTCTTAGTAAAGTTATTTTATGCTATGATTTCCTCCTTTTCTACGGCATGGGTATATCTAGGTACAAAAATTTTATATTGTAGCAAAATCTGTGGCACAAGTGTATGCTTGTCATGGGAAAGTTATTATATGTAGCACTAGTGTAAAGTTTGTCACAGGAGAAGGACAAAAAAAAACAAACAAACAAAAACTGTGGTATAAGTGTAAACTTTGCCACGGGAAAAGAGCTACTCGTTGCATAAATGTAAAGTTTGTCACATGAATATTAAAGTGCTACTTGTGGCACAAGTGTGATATTTGCTATGAGAAAATAATAGAAATTGTAATATAATAGTACTTTCTCGATCTCATTTTTGTAGACTACGGTATACTCCCTCCACATTTTATTACTTGGTCCAATTCTCCATAAGTGCTCTTACTTTCCCCAAAAAAAAAAAAAAAAAAAAAAAACAAAAAACTCTACGCAACATAACATGGGTAACAAGCAGCAGCAAATCATTAATATTTAACACCAAATTCACGACTGACATAAAATAAAAATGATTACAGAAGCAAACAGATCTCACATCTCAGAGTCTAGCAAATGCGATGATTATAATGGGCTATCTCATACCAAGTACTACTCAAATGTCCAGTTTGTAAGGTTCATTCTAAGCCATTATTCCTTCTGGAAACTTCATCTCAAACTAGTGGTACATTTCGACCAATTATGCAGCCCAGCAGACGATGTAATTGTAAGGATTTAATTCTGTACTATGAACCTTGAGCTAACAGTTTTTAAAACTTAACTAGTAAGGTTCTACAAAGAAAATTTTAACCGATAAACAGTTCTGCAGTGATCATCTCCTTCTGAATTCCCTTCGAGTCTGTATCAGTTATAAGATCCATTATCTATCCATGGTCCAAAAGCACAACCACTTTCAAATTTGGGTACTGCTTGTAAATGGCCACAGCCAACACATGTGCAAATGGCAAAGATGTATACTAGAGTTACTTCAGATTGAACAGGAAACATAGATTAAAGTACTAAATCAAATGTGATGGAAATATTAATATGCAGTCATGTAACTCTGATTTCTAAGAAAATGTGATAAGGGTCCACTTTCATAAGAATCAAGTATCAAAGAATATTAAGAGCATAATTGGTTTAGGCTCAAGAGAAGAAACAGAAAGTAATCGGATAAGATAGATTATTTTTACATCCTAATATCAAAAAATGCACATAGCAGTAGTAAATAGATAAGAAACTACAGAACCACAGTAAATTTAGCATACTAAATCAATCCTTCACCACTAAGTTAAATGCTCAATTCTTGCAAAAAGACCATGAGGAATGTTACATTACATATAAGCAGCACTAAACAGAGAGAACTCCTAATGGTTACATAATCCTGCTAGGAAAATAATTATATGAGAAACACAATGCCAGAGCTGAATATTCACCAAAAAAAAAAAAAAAATAATAATTATATGAGAAACACAATGCTTGCTTTCATTGATTAACATAACCAAAGCAAACCACTTTCCAAAGATTTTAAAGAAGCTTAGCAACCACGGTCTCATGCCCAGAAACCTGGATACAACAGAGTTATTCAAGTAATTCATATGAGGCCATAGCCACATTAGCCAAATACAAAACAATACATCCCGTGGTTTTATGCTATTCTTATGGAGTCATATAGCCTCAATTTTCCAAGAGAAAACAAGAACTTATCCTCGATTTTTGAGAGCAAACAAAAACTTATCCTTGATTTCGAAAAGTAAACAATAGCTTATCACCAGATAATAAAGAGCTTAATTTCGAAAAGTAAACAATAGCTTAATTTCGAAAAGTAAAATGGAGTTATAAAGAGCTTCTAAATATACTCCAGATAAAACAATCACCGAATTAAGATTAAAACAACGTTCAGATAATAGATTAAACAATACTTTGGTGTGACGAGAGCAATGTCAATAAATGCCTGTACTTTATAGACTTCTAATGGAAATTATAGCTACATTAATACCATAAAGTAAGTAATATCCCAGATAGCAATTAAAATGTGGCAATGTGCTCACAAGGTACGATAGATTAGCAGTGACAATTAGCCAAGAGCAATAAGCATCTGTTACAAATCAATAGTAATAAACTAGACGATTACTATTAATCATCCCTGCATACCAACCAAACAGATCACAGAACAATACAGAAAATGAATTTAAGCAAACAGGATTCAAAGTCTTATACTAACAAAATATGTGCATTTGTATTTAAAAACTCTGCTTACTTCTTCTTTATCATTGGCAAGGTTTCCCTTTCCGATTGCAGCTTATCTTCGATCGAAACAAGGCTGCCCACAAAACACCCCACAGAACACTCTATCCTCATACGTTCCCTTGGCAATCCACGAAGTTTGATTGCATCAAATGTTTTGGACTCCAAATCATACCAACCAAACTTGAGGTCGCTTATGCCCAACAAAAAAATTTTCCCATCTTTGTAGTAAACAATAGGCAATACTAAATTGCATCTCAGGAAACACTCATTGCCAATACTAAACAATCTCATCCAAGACTCTTTGTTTCCATACTCCTTCATTACCCATAAATCGCATTTCCAAAAATCCATATCTTCTGCTAAATAATAATTAACAACAGCACACAGACATCGACCCGATTCCGTTAACTGCACCCATCACATAAAATTCACCATTATGAATCAATTTCGAGTAGTCGGTAAACAAGAATCTCTCAGTGTGAAGATCAAAACAAGCAATTATGTAGTTAGATTTCTTGGAGCACGCATTGAAATGTAAAACCTCGTTAAGAAGAACACCATTAGAATAATTATCAAGGGTAAAACCATAGTTACCTTGAGCAGATTTCCAGGTATTATTATTGCGACTATACAATTCCACTTCAACGCAGATACCCATATCATCTCTAGGACACCATTGAACCAACTTCAAAACCTTGTAATCGTCGCTCTTACTGTCGTACCCAAATCCGAACAGACGAACAGGAGGTTTAACACTGTTAGGATCTGGAGTAATAGGTACCTTAGAATGTGATTTGGTAAGTGGGTTTAACAACACGATTTCAGTTTTGTTGGCAATGCAAATGATGCCATTGCAAGACCCAAACACCTGGACTCCCTGAGTTGAGAGAGGGAGCTGGAGCTCCGAGAAAGAGAGGTGGTTATCGTTGAGTTCTGCGGAATGAATGGACTCATCATAGAGGAGGAGATGACGATCGGAGTTGGAAATTAGGGATTGATTGAAGTGAAGTTTGATGAAATTGGGGGTTTTGATTATGGAATTCCAGAATTTGCAGACGCATTTGAAGCGTATAAGTGATTTAACAGGTAAGCGTAAGAGAATTTCGGTGATCATCTCAGTCGGAAGTGCCGCCATTGTTGCCCTAGCTCACGCTCTAGCTCCAGAATTACAAGCTACAGGAGTGGTTCTTATTTTGTTGGTTTCTTCAATTTTTTCTGAGTAAAAATTGAATAAAGGTGGCTTTGATAAGCAATTGTTGGCCTGGATGTTGGGTAATGCAGCAAAAAAATTAATCCAATAAGGTTATTTATTTATTTATTTATTTTTGGTGATACATCCGGTTCACCCTTTCTACCCGGTTCACCCTTTTGGTTAATCCTGATTCAATGATCAGTTTTGAGTGGTTAGGTTCCAGTCCCCTCCTAATAAGGTTATAAGATGGAATAAAAATTTAATTAGGGTCATTTTATGGAATAGAAATAAAAAGGGGTTACCCAGTAGAACTATAGAAATAGCAAAAAAATGAGTGATACCAATGGTGTCAATTCGGGTAAACGAGTAGGGTTTGAGTCGAGTTAGTCTAGGTCGACTCAATTTGGGTTATTATCGTAATCTATACTGGTCGGGTTCGGGTTGGGTTGCTTGAGTCAGGTAACGTCGAACTATATATCTTATTGGGTTTGGGTCGGGTTTAAGTCGAAACAATAATAAGTCGGGTTACATTCAGGTCAAGTGAATAATAGGTCGGGTTTTAACGGGTTAAACGAGTTAGGTTCATTCTCGGATTCGAGTCAGGTTCGGTTCAAGTAAATTAATTTGCAAGTTATAATAGTTCAGGTCATTTTCAAGTCGGATCATAATGTTCGGATTCGGGTTTCAAATATTGGTTTATTAATATAGGTCTTGTGTTGATTTCACGTATGGTCATATCGGGTTTCGAGTACATTTTTTGGGTCGATTGTTATCAGTCATGTATTGACGTTTACATTTAATCCTTATCAAAATCTTCATTGATTACATTTTTTTTTACTTATTTTAGAATAAATAATTTCATATAAGTTCAAATTCGAACTAATGCGATCATATAAATTTAAGATAAGATATAATAAGTTCATAGTAATTCCGATAAGATAGATTTAGTTAAGATTTTTGGAAGATAAGTTCAGACCCTATTCTAATCTATTTTTCATTGGTTCCACTCACTTTAGGAAGCAATTTTAGATTAGTTTATATTTTGGGTCGGGTTAGTAATGAATCGGGTTGAATTTCGGGTTGGATTAGTAATAGGTCGGGTTAATAATAGGTCGGGTTAAATTCAGGTCGGGTTAGTAGCAAGTCGGGTTAAATTCGGGTTTTTACGGGTTAAATGGGGTTTAGGTCAATCTCGATTCAGGTCGGGTTCGATTCAAGTCAATAATTTACGGGTTATATTCAGGTCAAATCTTATCGGGTTCGGATTGGTGTCGCACACTGGCACGGAATGAGGAAATACAACCCTTTTCTAGGGTAATGATTTTTGCACACCCAAATTTGAAGGCACATTTTTCTGTACTTTTCTCACATAGGGGTGTGTAAAAATCAATGAGTGGTGTGCCAATATCAATAGCCCCTTTTTAAGCAAGATATATGTTAGGGGGTAAAGTTGTAATTATAGGTTGATTTTCATCCCTCAACTATCAAATGACTGATTTTGATCCCTCAACCAACAATTGAGTCTGTCATTTATTCATTTGTGGTGGCTTGTACAATCACTCAATAAGGTTTAAGAACATCATATTTTATTTCTAACATGGCCAAAGTTTAAGGACTAACATAATAACACTGCTTAAGTTTAGGGACTTTTTATTTTTTATTTTTTCAATTCCTACTTTATTTTAACCATATATGCCCTTACTTAACCAATATAGTACTATTATTTTATTACTCATTCCAATCATGAATTTATTTAATTACTCATATTAAGGGGTTGTTTGATTCGTTAAACTGAAATGGATTGGTATAGAATCTTGTACTAGGGAGTAATGAAGGTATGGTTTCTAAAACTTCCCTACTAGTTTGAAGTTGTACTAGCCAGCATAAATGGTAGAAGGACCAAAATTAGCCTTTTGAAAGTTGAGATACCAAAAATCAACCTTATACCAAAGTTTAGGGATCGTATTTTTACTTGGTAAAAGCTAACTAATGTCCTGGGGACGTTGAACAAGCTAGCTAAAAGTAGAAATATTAAATTAAAATGAACATTAATTACACCGATTGACGTTTGATTTTGTCATGCTTTCCCAAATTAATACCACTTTGAATAAGCTAACCAAACATAAAATACCTTACTTGTAATAAAAAATACGATTGGTAACACCGGGGCGCTAGATAAGAGCCTAGAATATTAGAATCTAATAAATGTTAATTAATATAAATTTTAAGGAAAAATTAGAAAATAATCCCATCTTTCATCTATTTTGGTAGAATAATCCCAACTTGAGATTATATTGGAATAATCCGAACTTTAGGGGTTAATTATTTTCTTCAATCCCTAACCGGTCAACCAAAATCAATGACCTATTATATCCACGTGTCAAGTCCTGATTGGTCAAAAAATTATAAAAAAAAAAGAAAAAAAAACCAGTGGCCTCCCCTTCCACCATATGTAAGCAGCCTTCGCCGCCTCGTCCCCCACCAGTCGTATGCTGCTTTTCCGAACCACTGCATCTCCCCCTCCCTCACCGAACCGTCAGTTTCCCCCCACGAAACCACAAATGAAACCCCTCCCCACTTTCAAAAATCCCAAACCGCTCATCCTACAACCCCGAAACCCAGCGGCTAGGGTCTTTGATGGTGGGGGAGGGGTTTTTGGTGGTTTTCGAGAGTGGAGGAGGTGGTTTAAAGGAGGTTGCGAGTAGAGGAAGAAGTTTCAAGGGAGATAAGGGCCGCCGAAAAACGAGAAAACGAGATCGAAAAAGGAGGAAGGGAAAACCGGCGCAGGGTGAGGGGAATCAGCGGCGGAGGGGAGGGGGAATCCAATGGCGGAGCCACATTAGAACAAGGGGGGACAGTTGTCCCCCCATTTTCGAAAAAAAAGTTTTTTTTTTTAAAAAAAAAAAAATCAAGAAAATACAGTAAAAGGCTATAAATATCATATACTTACAGTAAATATCACAATATTGAATATGGTTTGGTGGTTGAGTCCTTAGTAAGGCTGTGCCTTGGTCTTAGGTTCGATTCCCTACTCTACTATTTTTCAGCTTTTTTGTTTTTTTTCCCCTACTTGTTTTTTGATTACTCTAATTTTCAATAGTCTTTTTAATTTTATTTTTCATTTCCTATTTCTTGTTTTAGGATTTTTAATTTTATTATGTGCTTAAACTCTATTTTTTTACATTTCTAATAAATAGATTACTATTAATTAATTGTTTGTAACTGTGTTTTAACTTTTATTAATACATACGAAATACATATGTAATAATATGATTGATTTGAGAAAGTTGAGTTTATTTTTTCGAATGTAACTCAAACCCAGACCCTTCATATCTACCATCAATTTGTTCTAACGATAATTATTTGACTTTATGATAAGGTAATTAATTCGTATATATCAATTATGTGATTACATAACGGGATTTACAAACATAAATTTATTCATTTTTGTTGGATAATTTTCTTAATATACAATAAAACTTTTTTATTCCTCTTTTGCCATATATAAATAATTGGCATATGTGATTTCAAATAAATATTAAACAATTTAGTTGATCAATTTTTTTCTTGAGATTTTTGCCGAAACTTTAACCTCCAAAATTTGTCCCCCCGAATTATAAATCCTGGCTCCGCCACTGGGGGAATCAACAGCGCAAGGGGGAGGGGGAATCAACGAGGCAGGGGAAGGGGGAATCAACGGCGCAAGGTGGTGGTTGTTGGGCAACTGTTGGTGGACGTAATTGGGAGGGGTTTGGCTGTTTTTTTTTATTTTTTTTAACCACTCAATTTGTGACACGTGTCACTTTAATAAAAAATAAAAATAAAAAACTCATTTAACCGGTAACCGGTATTTGGGATTGAAGAAAAATAACAATCCCAAAGTTCGGATTATTCCAAAATAATTTAAACTTGGGATTATTCTAGCAAAATTCATAAAAGTTGGGATAATTTTTTCTAATTTTTCCTAATTTTAATGTTAATCTTTCTACTTTTAGCTAGATTATTCAACGCCCCGGGGCGTTCGTTAGTTTTTGCCTATTAAGAATAATTGTACTAGTATAAATGTATAATGTTTTGGCTAGAGATTTATAATTTTATATTTAAGGGTTTAGGTGTTTAAAGCTTATGACATATTTATTTGAAGGGATAAAAAAAAAGGAAAGAATGGAGGAGTAGGGGTGTTTACGATGCGGTTTGGATCCTAAACCGCACCAAACCGCAAAAGTGCGGTTTGTATTTTTTTCAAACCACACCAAACCACACTTTTAAAAAAACCGCACCAATTAGCATCGCAAAATGCGGTTTGGTACGGTACGATTTAACCATATTTTATTAAAGTTATAATTTTTTTTTAAATATAACTTCTATTTTATTTTATAATAATTAGTTTATAATAAATATTAAACTCTTTTTTTAATCCTTTAATTAATTAATAGTCAAAGATTAGCTCATATATTTTAGTTCTTTTATATATTCTTAATAAAAATATATAGTATAAAAATCGCAAACCGCACTTTTAGTCTAAATATTTTTGGAAACCGCACCTAATCGCAAAATTGCGGTTTGGTTTGCGGTTTGGTGCGGTCTAAACCGCATTCTGTACAACCCTATGGAGGAGTAGGGATTTGATAAATCATTTGTTTGTTTAAGGGGTTAGGCATTGTGAAGGGAAAGGGGATAGGGATAAATTGGCTTTTATCTCTCTATTTTAGTTCTCGTACCTACTAAGGGGAGTGTTATAAGAGCATGAGCAATGATGGGTAACTCATCACAACTATTACAAGTTACCTCATCCATTTCTCTCTCTTCCAAATTATCTTCCACTTTACTTTCCACTATTTTAAAGTTATTATTATGAATCACTTTTTTTTTTCCTACAATGGTAAGGTTACTCACCACTCGCTCTCCTAATCATATTTTTCTTTGTAAGTGACACTTGTCATCTTATAATTGGATAATAAAAAAAATTTATGAGCATGTTAGTTACTCACTAGTCACTCGGTAGTGGGGAGTTCTCCTTACCATGAGTAACTTGTGGGTCACTTTCCATAATGGTGAGTTAACTCACAATGAGGGGAAAGAGTGTTGTGAGTTACTACTAACTCACCATTAGGGTTGTACAAAGTGCGGTTTAGACCGCACCAAACCGCAATTTTGCGGTTTGGTGCAGTTTGCGGTGCGGTTTTTTAAAATGATCAAATCGCGGTTTGCAGTTTGGTGCGTTTCCAAAATTATTGAGACCAAACCGCACTTTAATGCGATTTGCGATTTTTCTACTATATTTTCATTAAAATTATATAAAAGAACTAAAATATATGAGCTAATTTTTTACTATTAGTTAATTAAAGGTTAATAAAAAGAGTTTAATATTTAAATTATCAACTAATTATTATAATATAAAATAAAAGTTTTGTTTTAAAAAGAATAATTACAATTTTAATAAAATATGGTTAAACCGCAAACCGCACCGTAAGATTTGGTGCGGTTTTTTTTTTTAAAAGTGTGATTTGGTGCGGTTTGAAAAAAAATTACAAACCGCACTTTTGCGGTTTATGATCCAAACCGCACCGCGAACACCCCTACTCACCGCTCATGCTAGGGAAAGGATAGGGATAAAGCACAAAAAGACCTTTTTACCCTTACTAAAATTAAAAAAACAAAGGAAAATAAAGAAAAAATTGAGGGTATTTTAGTAAGTGTATTCAATATCCTAATCTTATTTCCTATTCATTCCAATCAAATTATCTAGATTATCTACCATAGGGCTCTCATTACATAGACCACCGTCCATTATCAACCTTTGACAAGCTTTGGCCAATATCCTTCCTCCTTCCACCACTACCACCACCAACAAATTTAGCTTGGCACCACAATTCCATAAAATCAACCTCTTTCTTGTCCTTATTAGAAGGTCATTCCCACTTATAGGACGTTTTAATTTAAACGAGGATCATCCCCTTCACACTCCATGATGATTCTTTCTAAAGTGCCCTCTGGGTTTGCCATAAGATTAAAATCCTCTGTAATTTTCACAAAACACTTAACAATTTATGGTTCCAATAAGGAAAAAAAAAAAAATTCTCCAAATTAAGTATAACAATACCTACATTAATCACATTTATACCAAAAAAATATATTCAAGTGCGAATAAAATAACAGCACGTTTTACAAATACACAATTTGATAAGCTAAATTATATTAACCCAAATTTAATCCACCATCGTTAACGACACCTTGTAATCAAAATTTAAGGCTAATTGATAACCTCAAATAATTTATTGATAGGAAGATTAATTGTAATCTCAGATCTCCTCCACAGGGAAGATTGGTGAATTGGACTGTTAGGGTATATGTGGCCATTTGGCCATCCTCAAGGTGGCGCCATCATTCTGCTAGGGGATTTAAAGTTCAAAATTCCACATCTCAATTTGCATTTTCTTTTTAGTTTTATTTGGCAAAATTAGTCGCAACAACGCCAATTTAAGCAGCTACTCTGATTGCTATCATAATTTAAGGTTGTGAAATAAAAACATCATAAAAATGTGTAATGTGATGTTAAATCAAATACTTGTACATCAGCAAAGAGCAGCTTGTTCAGTTTTAATCAAGTTTCACTGCTAGGAACATTCATACATCACAGCAGAGTTTGTAGAAGCTCAAAAGAACTAGGGAATTAGATGACACCATAACCTACACACTAGTACAAAGTGCAGTATCCAATTATCCATTGCACATTAGAATAGCACCAAAAAACTGTAGCTACCAGAAAATATTCACCCCTTTAATTAGGTGATAATAAAAGTATAACAAAATATAGCCACCTTAAAACTACTTGCAATGGTCTTCATGCAAAATCATCTAGCTGCTTCTCCAATGGTCATGAAAACAACTAAAAGTGAACATTTTAGCGATACAATTTCCCTACACTGCAAAAAGACGAAGTTTTTAATATCAGGAAGACATATCATGAACATTTTAGCGATACAATCTAAAAGTATATGTTTTCTACCAAGGAAGCACTAACTTGGCTTCTTGCAGGCTCAAGGCACCTAAAACAAACAACACTCCCTGAAACAAAGGGCCTTCTTAGTCTAGTAGATCCATGTCAACTTAAAGCATAAGCCACAATTTGAAGAGAAGTTAAATTAGGGAGCATCAATCAATAATTCCATATAATTATTTAATAGATAATTCACAAATAAAAAATAGCACAACTATTCGATTTGATACTCTCACAAACAGGAAACATCTTATTCTCAATTTACTTATCAACAAGCTGTGATAGACTCAATGGACTTGCCACCCAAGTGTAATCGGAAGCAGAGGACAAAACTCATCAATGAAACACTAAGGGAAGGAGTAACAAAAACCTGCTGGTTTGATACTCTGTTGAAGAGTTACAAAGTTAATTTATACTTCCTCCATTCTAGTGTAGCTTGCGTGATAATATAAGGAGTAATAGTATTAAAAGGCATGAAATTTGTAATGTGAAATAAGAGAGAATGGTAACCTCAAGTTACTAAGAGAGTGATAACCTAAAGTTACTTATCATAAGAGAGTAATAGCTTAAAGCTCTGGACCTATCATTTGTAACCCCTTTTTGCCATTATAAATTAAGCTTTCACCTTAAATTTACTCTTATTCATTAATTTATACAAACCAGATTTTCAGTCTATAGCACAAACCAATTTGACAGAGTAACCCACTATGCAATTTAATGTTCTGTTGGAATGCTTTTCCACTCCTAGCTTTACTTTGAATATAAGTTATATCCTAGCCTAATCTTCCCTCTCTTTTATTTTTCAATTATTTCTTTGAAGATGAGAGGAGGAGACAATGTTTTCCATTCCATCGAGTTTGTGGCTTTGAAAAAATCATGCATAAAAAGGTCTAAGATTGGTCTTTTATTATTTGTAGTAGTAGTAAAGGTAATACGAAGTATCAGAATTTCTTTTTAGCTTACAGCCCAGCCAACATCAATCCAACAGATCAATTTGATTCTTTTCAAAGAGAAGGTTATTGCACAAGAGTACAGTAATTTTGTATTAGCCTAACTACATGTCCCTATAGATGTTAAAAGTTTGAATCCGTGGCATTTACAAAGCAACTGACTAATGTGAATTGTAAGCCAAGCCTAGATTCTACTGTGGCAGATGATAGTATGATACCCTGGCAATTAAGGAGGCACTAGAATGACTTTTGATAAATGGTTGGCAAGACCCAACAATCCTCTCAGACTATTAAAGGAAAGTAAAGGGCATCAACAAGGATCACTATTTCAATGGTCAGTCTAATTTATATGCATCACGCGGGAAGTTACACCAGCAATTAGAGAACCGTGCACATCATCAAGAGGGAACAAGGGAAGCAGGCAGACCCAATCACCAGACAAAAGTAAAGGGCATCAACAAGGATCACTGTATCATCGTTGCTTCCCCCTCCTCCACACTGCACTCCCTATTAATGGTTTTTCTCGTGGAAGCCATGTTGTCCTTTCCTACAACTAACGGCAACCAAGAAAGCAAAAATTTCAAGCTTAAGTTTCAGTGCATATAAAACCCAATCAGCTCTTAGTAATCTTATAATGCAAAGCCAAATTCAGAAAAACAGAAGCACAGATCTATACCTATAATTTAAATACAGAAAGTGTGAAAAAAACAACCATAAATGAGCATGAAGTGAACGCCAATTAATTAAAGTAAGCATTTTTTAAGAATCAATAGAATAAATACAAAACCTTATTTTCAGCAAATCATAACATTGGACTCTTATCCACTCCTTAAAATTACTTGTATCAATTTTGTCCTATCTTGTCCCCATCCCGAGGCTCCATATATTTCCCTGTATATTTTTTAAGAAGGGGAGAGGAATAATTCTTTGAAGGTCAAAATCATTAGCTGATGGCACTAATAAAAGAAGCATCGATGATATAGCTAATCACATACTTCCTCCGTTTTCTTTTAGATGCAACACACACTTTTTCACGATATTTAATAAATGTGGGGTTCACATGATATAATAAACTTTAAAATGGGATGAGTGGTTGTTAGGAGTGTAATTTAGTGGGCCATGTGCTTTAAATAAGGGAAATAGTATAGTTTTTCCCTAAAGTAACTTTCCTTTTATAGTGTGTTGCAAGTATTGTGACATTTCCTTTTTAGGGAAGTGTTGCAAGTAAAAGAAACAGAGGAAGTATAAAAGTGGAATCCTGCGCCCTAGAATTTGTAAAGTATCATGCTCATACAGGAATCTCTTGGGTTAACAAATTTAGCAAAAGCCAGCAAAAAGATGTATAGACGACTAGACATTTAAAGTTTTGAACGAGCAAAAGTTCATGTAATCCTGTGCAAATTGCAGAATCCCATGACCACCTAGTTTGAAGGATCGATGATAAATTAATGCATACCAAGGTTGAAAGTTTGTGTTTGGTTCATTCTATATAAACCTTACTATTTATTATTCAAGTGTGGATAAAAAATTCAGATGTATAGCTTAGTGTTCAGCCAACATCAGTCCAAGAAAAACACTATCATTTATTTCAAACTGTAAGAGCACACCCCAGTCGATTAAAAAAAAAACTCTTAACACTTTAAGGCTGAAACAAAACTACGCATAAGAACAACAAATTTAAATTAATATAGATGGCTTGATACTTACATTACACACATTCAAACAAAGTCCCAGCAGTAGCATCTTCAATTAGGTCATAGCCTCCACTTGAACATTATCAACAATACTTCTGAAGAAAAGAAGAAGACCTTTCATAACTAATATTACAAACATGGTCCTTCCAAGATAATAACAAAGCTCAATATACATATAATGGATGCAAAATTGGTAGATAATGGAGTATTTAGGAAGCAAGAGAAACCAAAAAAGATCACAGAATCAAGATTGAAGCAACATTCAGATAATAGATTAACAATACTTTGGTGTGATGAGATCAATGTCAAATAAATGCCTGTACTTTATAGACTTCTAATGGAAATTGTAGCTACCTTAATACCGTAATGTAAATAATACCCCAAATAGCAATTAAATTGTGGCAATGTGCTCACAAGGTATGATAGATTAACAATGACAATTAGCCAAGAGCAATAAGCATCGTTTACAAATCAATTGTAATTTACTAGATGATTATTATCTATTTATGTATTATCCCTGCATATCACCTAGACAGGTCACAGAACAATACAGAAAATGCATTTAAGCAAACAGGATTCAAAGTCTTATGCTAAGAAAATATGTGCATTTGGATTTGGAAGCAAGGAAAGAAAAGCGAGACATTTAAAAACTCTGCTTACTTCTTCTTTATCATTGGCAAGGTTTCCCTTTCGGATTGCAGCTTGTCTTCGATCGAAACAAGGCTGCCCACAAAACACCCCACATGATACCCCATTGTTGGTCTCTTTGGCAATCCATGAGGTTTGATTGCCTTAATTTTTTTGGACTCCAAATCATACCAACCAAACTCCGATATGTATATGTCCAACAAAATTTTTTTCCCATCTTTGGAGTAAACAATAGGCATAATCCATGATAATCTCGGGATACACTCATTGCCAATACTAAACAATCTAACCCAAGACTCGTTGTTTCCATACTCCTTCATTACCCATATATAGATTTTTATAAAATGCATTTCATCCTCTGTAAGTTCAAAATAATTAACAAAAGCACATAGACATCCACCCAATTCCGTTAACTGCGTCGTCATAGCAAACTCACTATAATAATTAATCAATTTTGGGCAGTCGATAAACAAGAAACTCTCAGTCTGAAGATCAAAGCTAGCTATTATGTACTCAGTTTGCTCGGAGCCCCCCAAGAAATGTAAAGCCTCATTAACAGAACACCAACATGCCAATCAACATCAAGGAAAAACCATAGATACCTTGAACAGATTTCCAGGAATTATAATTGCGACTATACAATTTCGCTTCAACAGATTTCCAATCCATATCATCTGAATGTGACAACTTCAAAATCTTGTAATCTTCGCTCTTACTGTCGTACCCAAACCCCAACATAGATCGTGTAACCCTGTTAGGCTTAGGGATAGACACCTGAAAATGTGATTTGGTAAGTGGGTTGAACAACAAGATTTCATCATTGTTGGCAATGCAAATGATGCCAATGCAAGACCCAAACACCTTAAATTCCCGAGTTGAGAGAGGGAGCTGGACCTCCGAGAAGGAGATGTTGTCATGGTCGAGTTCTGCAGAATGAAGAGACCGTTACAGAAGATGAGATGACGATCGGAGTTGGAAATTAGGGTTTGATTGAGGTGAAGTTTGATGAAATTGGGGGTTTTGATTATGGAATTCCAGAATTTGCAGACGCATTTGAAGCGTACAACTGATTTAACAGGTAACCGTGAGAGGATCTCGGTTATTTGGTACTGTACCCCGTAGATTTCATCTGTTTTGTGAAACTTGTTAGGGAAGCCGGAACTCGGAAGATTGTTTCGTGGCACGAAAGACCAGATACTTTCTCTATTTAGCCTTTTACGTTTTTTAAAACGCGTCTTAACACATTTACTCAATTAGGGCATGTTCATATTTGCTAAACTGAACTGAACTGATTGGAGTTGAAATGAATATTATGAGAGAAAGAAATTAGGAGCTGAACTGCACTGTACTGAACTGAACTGATTAGAGCTGAACTGAACTGAACTGATTAGAGCTGAACGAAACTAAATTAAGTAAATGTGAACAGGCCCTTACTCACACACTCCTATTTGACCGTGTTTCATGATTTATGCATAACTAGGTTACATCCGGTGTCATACATACACGATAATTTTCAATACTTGTTTTTAAAATTAACACTAGTAAATTTTTTTGACTTTCGTATGTTATATTCAGATCACAGTTGTTTCGGGTGAAAACAATGGGACCTTGCCGAAGGTCCAATGAAGTGGATGAAGACTGGTCCGATCCAATTGATGCTGGGTCGAAGGTTTCCTGCACAGCAAGCACACGTAAAACTGGCCTTGGGGGTGGATCCGAGGAAGACCCCTCTGATGCCGAAGTCAAACAGTGTTTAGAGAGAGAAAGCTATGCAAGAGAATTAATGCTTGAGGCTTTAATGTGTATGAATGATAAATGACTCAATTGAATGCTTTTATACCTTAGCATGACAAAAGGAGGAGGATGATTGGGCCGAACTCGGTCATGGGCTGATCATGACAATTTGGGCCGCTTGACTTATGCTGACTTGGCTTAAATGGAGGCTTGGGCCTTGACCTTAGAATAGTGGATCATTTAATGACTAGGCCCAATTGGCTTAATTGGACCCAAACAACTTGCCCCCCAGACCCGATTTGGAAGGATGATGGGTCGGGTTTGAATCCAATAAAAATGGAGGGAAGTAAATGATTTAATTAAATCAAAAGATTTAAATTTTAAACAGTCATTAACTGAATAACTGCAATTAAGATAATTAGTGGGAAGTTGAGTGGATAATGGGCGGTTAATCAAGAGAGAGAGTGTTTAACGGTTACTTAAGGAGGCTTTTAAGAGGAATTAAGCATTCTGACTTTCGAAATTCCCATTTTCTGGAAATATAAAACCAAATTCGCCATTTCTCTCTTCATTTCTTCACCAATTCACTCTCGAATTCACTAAGAAACCGTTGCTTCCACTTCGAAATTCCACTCCACACCCGAAATCAAAGCTTGGCGCTCAAACCCGTTGCTCCGACCCACTGAATCGGCAAGTTTCAATTCTCATAAAGGTGATTTTCTTCGAATTTCCCTTGATTTCCTTAATTTTTCAAAAGAACTCCTCTTTTCCCAACTTCCTTCCTCGCGAATTCATAAATGGCTCGCTTAAGAGGTCGCCGGACTGGGAGGCCAGGTCAGGTCAGGGATCCTAGGGATCGTGCCGACTTTTGGAATGGGGAACGCGTCCAGGAAGACCCGGAGAGGGGAATTTCGGCCGTCCCTTTGAACGCCGCAGCCCCTCAGCAGGGTGCCGAGGTTGGGGCTGCTGAACAGGAGGAGGATCTGCCTCCTGTGCTTTGGGATGTGCTATCTGGGCATGTTGAATGGCAAAACGCCGAGGCCCAGAGAGCCATGAGGGACAATGCCCCCTATTATTGGTGGGTTAGGCATGCTGAAGCTTATCGGTTTGCCGAACAGATCGAGTTGCATTACGGCATCCTTGAAGAAGACGAGTATTGGTGCCGAATGCCTTCGCCTACTGATAGAATTCATCGCCCTCCCCCTGGGTATGTGGGGGTATATACTAGGCAACTTCAATACGGGCTTAGGTTCCCGTTAGATCCCTTTGTCAGGGACATTTTGATAAAGTACAGGATTTCCCTGTGCCAGTTGACACCCGTTAGCATTCGGCGGGTGATGACCTATCTCTAGGTATGCCGGTTCTTTGCTGTTGAACCGAATCTGCACTGCTCCCGAAGGATGCATCAGCTGGTGCAGAACATCCAAAGTGTATATGGTCACCATGGGGCTGGCTGGTGGCGAATTGAGAGCCATCCACAATATTTGACCATGTGGCCGAACGACTCTTCGGATAAGGAATGGAGAGGCCAATGGATCTGGGTAAGGGCTCCTGCTGACCCGGAGCACCCCTACTTTTTCGGGGCCCCCCGTTATCTCTCCAGGCCCGATCCAAATAAGCAAGACTTGGGTCCCGAAGACCCTGATGCCGCCAGCCACCCAAGTTATGAGCAGATGAGCTTCTTCGGGAAGCAGAAAAACCCTGGGGGGATTGGCCGAATGAATTTCATCCCCACCCGATGGCTTCCCGATAACCACTACGTCTTCCAAGAGAAGATGCTTGCAGTTGTCGGCCTCAGCCGAAAGCACAGAGGCGGTAAGTACCTTCGGCTAGGGCCGAGGACTTTATTTTGTTATTGCTTCATTTGCTTTGTCCATATCTTGAAGCTAACCTTCAACTTCTCCTTTCAGATTTGAGCGAGGCTACCTCTGACATTGATTACGATCGGCTGGGAGTGAATGCTGAAAGGGTCATCTTAGACCGAGCTCCAGCTATCACTGCTCAGAATGATCGTCCGCTGCACCTACACTCGACAGGCCTTCAGATCGAGGCTGCTGCAGATTATCTGAAGCAGAAGCCTTGGTGGGAGAAGCGGGATCCTCTGAGGCCTTTGCTAGCCGAGGAAGTACTCGTCACTCAGGCTGCTGAAGAGGTGACTAGAGCCATCAACTCCCTAGAAAGGGGTGAAGGGATCCAGGGGGGAGGGGTAACGACTAAGCCCAAGAAAGCGGACAAAGTTCCATCGACTTCGTTCCTCTCCTTCAAGTCTTTCCAGTATGGGGACATGGGGTTCTCAGCCAAGAAGTGCTCTATCCTAGATGGCGTTAGGGCCGAAATTTGGGGGAGACACAGGGAAAGTGCTGAAGCTTACTTCGGCGGTTGCTCCGAATTATCTGAAATAGAGCAAGTCCGAGAGTGGTCTGTTCGGGCAACCGCTAGAATTGCCGAACCCGGTCCTTCAATACCAGATCCAGCTAGAGACAACCAGAGGCTGCTGATGCAGGTATGTAATAATATTCTGCTCCTTCAGCCTTTCCAGTTTACTCCACTCGCTTGTAATTTTTTATTAACTTAAATTCCATTCTGGTTCTGCAGGTTGTCTACAACCATACCCTAACCTGTGAGATGATTGACACGCTCCAGGGAAGGGTACACATTGCTGAAACAGAGGCGAAGCTTGCCCAGCTGAAGCAGGAGAAGGCCGAGCACAGGGCTAAGGTCGTGATCGACTCCTTCAACACTTCTGCGATGAAATGGAGAAGGATGTCTTACCTCAAATAGATGAGGGTGAGGCCCTGCTTAACGCTTTTGGCGCGGTTGACGTTCCTAGCCTCAAACCCAAGATCCAGCACAAAATTGACGATGAGGTTAAATCTCAAGTGCTGGCCCGAGAAGAGATACCTCGGCAGAAGCTCAAGATCTTGGAGGCTAACATTAATTAACATCGACAAGACTGTGAAATGAGGGAGAAGGAGCTGGTCGAGGCCGGGATTCAGCTAGAGTCTCAGCGGCAGAGCATCACTAGCCTGGAGGTTCAGCTGAAGAACCAGGAGGAAGATCTTTCTTAGGCTCGTGACAAGGCTGGGCAGACGGAGCAGAGGCTTGCTAATGCCGAAGCTCAGTTGAAGGAGCAGCAAGAGTCTTCCCAGAAAGCCTTGGAAGAGGTGCAGAAGAAGCTGGCCGATGTTGAGGCTCAGCTAGCCTTCAGGGTTTACACTTAGGAGGAGTATTCGGCTGCCTACCTCAGTGGCTATGGGGTTGCTCGGAGATTGGCTCTTCATGCTGCACCTGATCTGGACTGGTATAAATGCGAGATCTAGGCTGAAGCCCCAAGGATCCTCATATGCAGCAAGCCAGTCAGGCTAAGATTGATCTGATGGCCCGCCTCCAGGCCGAGGATGCTGAGATTAAGAAGGCTGAGCTGAAAGAAGCTGAAATGAAGGAGGCCGAAGTCCAGACTTCAGTTCAGCCTGCCTCTTCTGTAGCTGGGGCTGATGCTGTGCTGGACTCCACCCTTGTTGGGATGCCTGACCCTCCAGCTGAAGCCTAGGGACTCGGGCAGTCGTCTTCAGTGCGGATCAACGTGTTCTTAAAATGAAAGATGCCGCTTCTGACTGTTTTTTGCCTCTGTTTTTGCTTCAGCTTGCCTCAGTGTACAAACTATTTTATATTTTTTCCTTGTGCGCATTTCGGCAGCTGTTATTTTCCGCTTGTGGTCGGCTGCCGATATTATCTTTTAGCTTGTTTGAACATTTATGTTTGTAGCTCGTAATCCGAGCATGATTTCGTATTTATGAATTTGATATTTCCCTCTTACTGCCTTGCTTTGAACTTGCACTTATTTGATTTGATTTTTTTTTTTTTGCTAAGTACAAAGCTTCAGCTTAGAGGTCTCAGCTGAGGCAGTCTGCGCCTGTTGTGCCTCTTGTCCCCCCCCAGAGATTTGAAGATTTGCTCTTCAGATTTCTGAGATCATTATTGTTTTCCTTGTCTGTTTTCTACTAGTTTATGCTTTTGCTCTTAGTTTTCTGTCTATCTTAAAAATGGATATCTCAAACACAAGGCCAACTGAAGGCAATGTTTCAGATAATGGCTATCTGGGATACAAGGCTCAGTTAAGGCAATATCCCAGATTTGTCCATGGACTCATTGCCTTGTAAAACAAGTCTTACTGAGGCTTTCACCCCAGCTGAAAGACCAGAATTCTTTTTAAAAAAGGCGAGTTCATCGGCAATCCGAAACCTGATGCTCCGAGGGAAAAGGTTTCGGACAGGGCCGAAGGGAACCCTTAAAGAGTAGATAGCATAAAGAAAAAATAGGAGAGTAAAGATTGCAAATTGTAGAAAATAGTGGCTCTAAGGCCTTTCATTAATAATTCAAAATGTACTTACAAAGGTTGTTCTGCCCCAAAGGGTTTATATGTGATATTTTTTAAGTACATCAGCATTCCA